ACAGCATGCCTTTGTTTATTTTTATGTGATGCTAGGGATTGAACCCAGTACCTCACACTTGCTAGGCAAGCGCTCTGCCACTGAGCCTCAGTCCCCACCCTAGGATTATTTTTTTTTTTTTTTTTTTTGTGGTGCTGGAAATTGAACCAGGGCCTTGTGCATGCGGGGCAAGCACTCTACCAGCTGAACTGTATCCCCAGCCCCCTTTGAAGTTGTGGCTTTTACTTTTTTCCTGTATTTAAAAAAATGGTAGCATAATATGCCTTGAAAAGCTCAATGAGAGTAGCGTTGCATCAAGGAGAAAGTGAGTCTTTGCCCTCTCGCCCACCCTCCTGCCATGCCTTGCGTCTGAGTCCTTCTGTGTACACGTGGAAACCCGTGTACCCRTGTACACAGAGCCGCAGCATAGACCTGTTTTAAACAAAAAGAATTTTTGTGTATTAGTTATATGTGTGTTAGTTTTACGATACTACCATGAAATACCTGAGGTAATTAACGTATTAGAGAAAAAGTTTATTTAGCTAAGTTTTGTAGGTTCAAGTTCACAAGATCATGTAGCCCATGGCTTTGGGCCTCTGACAAGGCTGGGGCAGCACACACATGTTGGAAGGACTGCTTGCCTCTGCAGCTAGGAGGCAGGGGAGCCTGAGACTGGGGTCCCCAGGCTCTTGGAGGGCTTGGCTCCAGGGCAGACTCCTGCCAGGCCCACCTGCTAAAGTTCCCTTGCCCACCAGTATCACCACTTGGCAGCAGCCTTCCACACATGGGCCTTTGGGGACACTCAGACAGTGGAGTGCTCTCTGCAGCTCGCTCCTGGCGTGTGGCAGGTCCTCTCGAGGGTCGCCCCCATGGCCTGTCCTGGTGCCTCCCGTGCACACTCAGCCTCCTCTCTCCTCTTGCTGTTGCAGAAGCGCCTGGCAGCACTGGCTCAAGCGTTCTGCACCCATGTGCCCAGGCCCCGTGTACTGTCCTGGAGGCTTGGCTCCTTGTACTGAGAGGGCTATAGGGTTGCTGCCCATCCTTGCATTGGGCTCTTGTCCCAAGTCCCCATATACCTTGAGGTCCCAGGCGCAGGGCTGCACCCTGGGGCGCAAGAGAGGCTACTRTGCAGCCGCCCAGCTCACCTCCCCTCCCTATGCTCCCTCAGTGGCCAGTTCGCCATYGTGCGGAAGTGCCGGCAGAAGGGCACTGGAAAGGAGTATGCGGCCAAGTTCATCAAGAAGCGCCGCCTGGCGTCCAGCCGGCGTGGTGTCAGCCGGGAGGAGATCGAGCGGGAGGTGAGCATCCTGCGGGAGATTCGGCACCCCAACATCATCACTCTGCATGACGTCTTTGAGAACAAGACGGACGTGGTGCTCATCCTGGAGCTGGTCTCTGGTGGGGAGCTCTTTGACTTCCTGGCAGAGAAGGAGTCGCTGACCGAGGACGAGGCCACCCAGTTCCTCAAGCAGATCCTGGATGGCGTTCACTACCTTCACTCCAAGCGCATCGCTCATTTCGACCTTAAGGTGAGCCCTGCGGGCCCTGGGGATGAGCCAGCCSTGCGTCCAGGATGGGAGCTGGGCGAGGCCCTGATCCTGCAGCAGAGCGCAAGTCCTCCAGCCCATTGCTGTCCAAGGGTTGAGGGGACAGGACAGCCTGGGCCAGGGACCTGAGGGTGTGTCAGTCTGGCCATGCCACAGAATGAGGCTGCTCTGTCCAGACATGTGGGTGGGACACAGGAGTAGCAGAGGTCTTCCACTCCAGCCAGAAAATATCATGCTTCTGGACAAGAATGTGCCTGACCCCCGGATCAAGCTCATCGACTTCGGCATTGCCCACAAGATTGAAGCAGGGAATGAGTTCAAGAACATCTTCGGCACCCCGGAGTTTGTGGGTGAGTCCATGTGGTGTCTGCCCAGGGCTTGGCAAGGCAGGCATTTGCGGATTCCCACTGTGTGTGGTGTTAACTGGCACAGGTCTCCGGCCACCCCTCCCATGCCCAGCATCATGGGGACTCGGGTTCATTTGGGGCTGTCACTGTCCAGCTCCTCTTCCCAGGGCCTGGCTGAGTCAGCCCTGCCTGTGTCCATTCACTGACAAGTACAGTGGGGTTTGCGAGCACCTCCACCAAGGTCTGTCCTGGCTACTCGGGGTGCCTGAGGCACAGACTTAGCGAGACCCTGTCTTAAAATAAATAAGCGCTGGGTGTGAATCCGTCTCTGGTAGAGCTCCAGGGTGTAGTCTTTGGTAACTTCAAAAAAAAAAAAGAAAAAGAAAAATACATGTATGGGGGGATGGAGAGCGTGTGTGTGTGTGTGTGTGTGTGTGTGTGTGTGTGTGCATGTTCCCAACTGCGGGGGGTGGGGGGAGCGGGGTGCTGTCCCTGTTGGCTCTTGTGTCCCCAGCGCCTGGCCCTTTGCTCTCTTTTCTGTTCGTACAGCTCCTGAGATTGTCAACTATGAGCCCCTGGGCCTGGAGGCAGACATGTGGTGAGTGTCCCGAGAGCTGGCCAGGCTGGGGCCTTTCCTGTGTGCTTCCTCCTGGTGGTATCTGGGTGCCACGGGGGGATGGACAGACTGCTGTCTTAGGATAGAGGTTGGCAGACGGCAGCCCGAGGGCCAGGCCAGGCCCTTCTGCTCAGGGGTCTCCACGTTGTTTCCTAGGGTGTTAAACAAAGCTGACAGCCGGGCGCGGTGGCACACGCCTGTCATCCCAGAGGCTTGGGAGGCTGAGGCAGATCGCCAGTTCCAAGCCAGCCTCAGCAAAAGTGAGGCCCTGAGCAGCTCAGTGAGACCCTCTTTCTAAATAAAATACAAAATAGGGCAGGGGACGGGGCTCAGTGGTTGAGAGCCCCTGAGCTCAATCCCTCGTACCTTCCCCCGCCCCCGCCAAAAAAAAAAAAGAGAAACAAAGCTGATGGACWTTGAAGTGTTGGATGGACACAGTCTGAGGTTCAGAGTCTGACCCTATGTAAAAAGTTTCCCACCAGGCTCCATGAGGGTCCCACCGTCAATGTGGGGGTGCTGTGGGGCCACTGTGCTCTGACCCATCCCCACCCTGGCCAGTTTGAGCTTTGACATTAGTAGGCAAGGATGGCCAGAGGTGCCCAGGTGGAAACTCCAGGTGATAGAGACAGGGACCAGGGACTGGCTGGAGGCTATGTGGAGCTCAGAGCAGAGGACAGTGTCAGCCCCTGAAGTTTGGGACCAGGGCTGGGGGATGTTGCCCCTGGCTCAGGGCTTCTGYCTTCCCTAGTGGTTCATTTGACCTGGCTGTGGACCTCTGCCCTGGGGGCCCCACTGACCCATGTCCCTCCTTTCTGTCTTTCAGGAGCATTGGCGTCATCACCTACATCCTGTGAGTACTGGCCAGGGTGCTGATCTTTTGCTGGCCTGGTCGTGCCGCACAGCAGTTGCCTGTCTGTCTGGCTTGTGCTGGAGTCAGGGCTGTTCCTGGGGACGTGGGGGTCCCGCCAGCTCTGCACAGTGGTGCTCAGTGACCCTGGTGAGGGAAGGAGTGAGTGGAGCAGTGGAGGGTCCTCCGAGGGTKCTATTATGGGCCTCTGGAAAGTTCTGAGGCCAGGCCCTGTTTTCTGAGTGGCCGTGCCAGGAGGGGGTATGTCTCCCCTCCACTGTGGACAGTCCACTGGCAGCCAGAGACAGAAGGGCCAAGTCCTGGCCTTTCCCTGCTGCTGCCTGGGACAGCTCAGCCAGGTCAGGCCAGGCCTGTGACGCATTGGCCCCTGGCCTGGAGGGTGGGCACACCAGGCAGACTTGGCCATGGCTCCTTGGAGGGAGGTAGTTGCCCTGTGTCCCTCGTGACCTGGGGGTTATGGAAGACTGGCATAAGTAGCAGATTTCCTTCTGCAGACGTGAGGACACTACTGTTGACCTTGGTGCCCGAGGTCAGTGGTGGCCCTGACCAGGCACTCCAATTCCCCACTAGCATCACTTTCTGGCTGGAACCCAGGAACCCCTGACACTGGGGACATCTCCTCGCCTCCCCCAGTCAGACCGTTGGTGTCTTGCCTGGGCACTGTCGGGCACTTTATAGAGGGCGCCCACTTGGGGCTTTATGTGCTCTGTGAACAGCTGGGGTTCCGCACCCCTGCCCAGAGCCTCAGAGGTGTTGGACCAGGACACAGGCCTCTAGAGACTCCCCTGAGGCCACTGACCCTTTAGTTGTCCAATGCTTTAGGAGAAGCTCTGAGCTGTGTCCACCCAGACACCAAGTTTCCAGAGACATGTCCCCTCCGTGACTGGGAGGTGATCTTTGACGCAGCTTGGTGGGTGACCAGGTGACTGTGTAGAGGAATGTGTCCCCAGTGGTCAGGTGTCCCCGTCGGCCCATCCTGTTTGGCCCCCTATGGGCCCACTGGAGTCGGTAGTGAACCAGAAGGTGGCAAGGTCACAGTGGGTGTGCGGGGGCTGGGGCACCCCATCGAGCCTGTGCCTGCCTTGGTCTTCCAGCCTTAGTGGCGCGTCCCCATTCCTGGGTGAGACCAAGCAGGAGACCTTGACCAACATCTCGGCCGTGAACTACGACTTCGACGAGGAGTACTTCAGCAGCACCAGCGAGCTGGCCAAGGACTTCATCCGCCGGCTGCTGGTCAAAGATCCCAAGTAGGAGCACGCACTGGGCCCCTGGCAGAAAGCYTCGCCCGCTCTGCCCATGCCCCAGCCTCCAGCCACCCACCCCTGCCCACCGCACCTCGCACTCCAGTGTAGTCCACTCAGGGCTCCCACGGCCTTGAGGGCTGCCCGGCTCCTCAGCCAGGCAGAGGGGATTGAGGACTGGTCTGGCCACGCCATATTTGTTTTGTTCTGGTTTTTATTTTTGTTTTTGGTATTGGGGACTGAACCTGGGGTGCTTGACCCTTGAGCCACATCCTAAGCTCTTTTTTAATTTTTTAATTTTGAGTTTATATGTCTGTGAACAGCTGGGATTCTGCACAGAGTCTCGCTGAGTTACTTAGGGCCTTGCTAGGTTGCTGAGGCTGGCCCTGAACTTTCGATTCTCCTACCTCAGCCTCCTGAGCTGCTGAGATTACAGATGTGCACCATCACACCTGGCCATGCCATGTTTTTGAAAACCTTAAATTCCTTACTAGCTTTGGAGATAGGTTTGTGTAAAATTCCAGATCCAGCAAAATGTAGAACCCTGGCAYCCAGTCTGCCACGGTGCTCTCCTGTGACCTGGCCCTCCTGTGGGTGCCTGAGTTTATGACTGCAGTGGGAGGTTGTGGTTCCATTGAAAACATACCCCAGGCTTCCTGTCCCAGGTCCCTGCCCCTGGCCTCCCGGTTGGCCAAGCAGAGGCTGGGAAGGACTCCAGGGGGCTGGGGGGTACATACGGGAAGCGGCTGGAAGCAGGGTGCYAAGGGCCAGTGCTGTGGGGGGACAGCCTGGCCCCTCTGCTGTGGGTAGATGGTGTGGAGGACACAGGTGTGACTTGGGGTGGTCTTCCAGGAGGAGAATGACCATCGCCCAGAGCCTGGAGCATTCCTGGATCAAGGTGAGGACTGAGGTGTCTCTCCCACTGGAGGACAAGCCCTGGGCAGGGCAAGCCCTCCRCGTCTGGGGAGGTCCTTGTGCTGCAAGGGGACGTGGAGCGCAGGTCAGCAAGGCCCCGGCAGAGCCTGGCCCTGCTGTGGCAGTGGGAAGGCTGTCTGCACGCCTGCTCCACGGGTGGACACGGGAGTTGGTGGACTCCAGTCCCAAAGGCCACGGCTTGCCCTCGGCTCCAGGCACCTTCCTCCCTGTCCCCTGCAGGCCATCCGGCGGCGCAATGTCCGCAGTGAGGACAGCAGCAAGAAGCCTGAGCGGCGGCGCCTGAAGACCACGCGGCTCAAGGAGTACACCATCAAGTCGCACTCGAGCATGCCGCCCAACAACACCTACGCCAACTTCGAGCGCTTCTCCAAGGTGCTGGAGGAGGTGGCGGCYGCCGAGGAGGGGCTGCGTGAGCTGGAGCGCGGCCGCCGGCTGTGCCGTGAGGACGTGGAGGCGCTGACGGCCATCTACGAGGAGAAGGAGGCCTGGTACAAGGAGGAGAGCGACAGCCTGGGCCAGGACCTGAGGCGGCTGCGGCAGGAGCTGCACAGGACGGAGGCGCTGCAGCGGCAGGCGCAGGAGGAGGCCAGGGGTGCCCTGCTGGGGGCCAGCGGGCTCAAGCGCCGCTTCAGCCGCCTCGAGAACCGCTACGAGGCGCTGGCCAAGCAGGTGGCCTCCGAGATGCGCTTTGTGCAGGACCTGGTGCGCGCCCTGGAGCAGGAGAAGCTGCAGAGCGGGGAGTGCAGCCTGCGCTAGCGGCCTGGTCATCCCTCTGCAGCCCAGGGTCACGCCGGCCTGGCCGCCACCCAGGCCACCCTCTCCTCAGGGGAACTCCCTCCCCTGTGGCCAGGGCCTTAGCTTCTGCAGCAGGCTTGGACAGGGCCACCGCCCAGATGGCACTGGCGACGGTGGGTGTCGTGGCCTCGAGCACTGCCTGGTGGTGGGGGTGGCGGCCAGGTCCCAGGACCACCTTGGGCCCCTGAGCAGGCAGGCAGAAGCTGACAGCCTGGAGTGGTGTTTGTCCGTGGGTTCATGCTGGGCAGCGGGCCCCATCCTGTCCAGCAGGTGGCTCTTGAGCCCCAATCAGCCCTGTCCACAAATGCTTGCCCCACTGTGTGACGGGCCTGGCCTTGTGCTGTGTCCTGATGATCAAGTGGGCTGTGACTGATGCCCTTCCCGCTGGTCTGGCCTGGCGCAGCCGCACAGTTCTATARCCCCAGTGGCTTTGGAGGCTGAGGCAGGAGGATGCAAGTTCAAAGCCAGCCTCATCAGCTTAGTGAGACCCTGTCTCTTAAATAAAAAGGGCTGGGGATGTGGCTCAGTGGTCAAGTGCCCCTGGGTTCAACCCCCAGTACCAGGAAAAAAAAAAAAAAAAAGCTTGTGTTCTGGGGAGCTTGGCAGTAAATGGAGCGTTGGTTGATGCTGGTTTTGGGGCCCAGGGAGTCTCCCAGTGCTGGGTGAAGGGGCACTGGGGTCTGAGCAGGGGCTGTAAAGCAGCCACCACCCTCTTGGTCCCCCAGAAGCATCTGAGGGGCCCTGTGCTGTGTGCCATCCTCCTGTTCCTAGTGGTGCCAGGATGCACCTGCTCTGAACAGCACAGCCCCAGCCTGTCCCTTGGCTGCAGTGCCCGGTGGCCCTCAGGGTATTCTCGCTCCTGTCTCAGTTAGCACCTTGTGATCCTCGGGGCTGTGTGGATAAGGTCCCCCAGGACTGCCTGCAACAGGCTGGCACGCCGCGTTGGCAGGGGAAGTGCGGCTCTGCCTCACCCTGCTGGTGCCTGCCAGGAGCCGCTAGGTGGCAGTTTGGACTAAGGCACTGGGTGGCCAGTACCATAGGGTGCCACTAGGTGTCGCCTCAGCCCACCGGGAAGCCTTGGATGGGGGGGCAGTGTGCAGGTTGAGGCCATGCCCTGGCCCTCCATGGTCAAGAGCCCCCCGCGGTGGGTGTGTGGCTCCTTTGAGTGCTGATGCCTTTGCAAAGGGCTGGCTGGACAGGAGCCCGTGCAGAGGAGCCGGGGCCCCGGGAGCAGCAGCCCCACTGCAGTCCTGATCTGCCGGTGCCGGCCCTGCAGCTCAGCACCAGGTGCAGGAGACAGGTCTCCCGTCAGGGAAGATCCGGTGCAGTGGCTGTGACTGGCCTGTGCTCTGCCCCGTCYGGACCCCGCCCGTAGAGGCGCCATGGGGCACAGCTCAGCTGGGGGCCTCATGGAGGGCCCCCAGCACCACCCTCCACTAAGCCCCGTGAGTTCTTTAACAGTGCTTTGTGCTTGGGAGATTGAGGTCAGTCTGCAGTGCTGTCCAGCGGTGGCACATCACAGGTGGGAGGACACTGCCTRCAGACTTGCACAGGGATGTTCACGGAGGCACAGTGGCAATGGCTTGAAGGAAACGCTCCCGCTGACAGACACAGTGCAYTCCCCCTTCCGGGGCGTCCCTCGGTCACCTAGCTGCCATGCTGATGGAACCGAGGACTTCTTGCTCAGAGCCAGACACACAAGGCCACAGTGTGTGCCCCAGTGACARGAGACATCCAGGACAGGAGTCAGAGATGGGACATGGATTGGTGGGTGCTGGGCTGAGGCTTGCCTTGGCATGACAGTGTGAATGTGCTCGATTGTCACCAATGGTAGAATTTGTTATGTGTTTTCCCACACAAAATACATGGAACTGGGGCTCAGGGGCAGAGCGCTTGCCAGCGCGTGTGAGGCACTGGGTTCAATTCTCAGCACCACATAACAATAAAGGCCTGCTGTCCGTCTACAAGTATGAAAAGAAAAATTTAAAAACAACCACATCAGGCCAGTTTGTTGTCCCAACTATTTGGGAGGCTGAGGTAGGAGGATCATGAACCCAGGAGTTTGAGTCCAGCCTGGGCAGCATACGAGAGACCCCATCAAAAACCACAAAGCACCAGGTGCAGTGGTGCATGTCTAATCCCAGTGGCCAGGGAGGCTGAAGCAGGAGGATTATAAGTTCAAAGCCAGCCTCGGCAACAGCGAGGGGCTGAGTAACTCAGTGTGGCCCTGTCTCTAAGTAAAATACRGAATAGGGCTGGGGAGTGGCTCAGTGGTCGAGTGGCCCAAGTTCAGTCCCTGGTGCCCACCGAGTTCCTGAGCTGGCAGCCTGCACCGCCTCTGCTGCCCCTCTCCCCGTTGTATCCCCCTGCAGGTAGAGGAGGGTGCTGTGTGATGGCTGCTGCCACCTGCCTTCACAGCCAAGGCCACCTGAGGCCCCGTTGAAAGTCCTTGAGGTTTCCAACTTGGTGCCGCCCGATGGCATGGGAAGGAGCTGGTGGCCACTGCCAGGTTTTTGTGATCCATTTTCAAGTTACAAAGGAGTGAAATTGAGAGGCCCAACTCCACCCTGAGGCCTCAACGGCCTCAGCTGCTCTGGTGACCACGAAGTAGGCCATGGAGTGGTCAGGAGAAGTAGGCCATGGAGTGGTCAGGAGCGGCAGGCACTGACGGCTGGGCCCAGGAGGCCCGTCCTGGCTCCAGTGTAGGATGCTGGCAGGAGACTGGGGCCAGGCAGGTTCTGCTGGGGCTATGTCACCTTAGTGCCACAGCTGCCTAGGGAGCGTGTAAACGCACGTTCCTGGCAGAGTGCTCAGGATCCAGGTGAGCGCACAACCGCCAGGGGACAGCAAGGGSCCTGACCTGTCCCTGGCAACAGCCCATGGCCTGAGTAACTACTTGTGCCTGGGATATACCTGTACCTGTGTYCCCGGCAGCATGACCACCACAGCGCTCACATCCATGTGTCGGTGGGGGATAAATGACATGCAGGATTTGATTCAGCCACCTGCTACAACGTGGGTGACCTGAGAAGAGTGCTCAGTGGCATGAGCCAGAATCAAAAGGGTCCCCTCACAGGAGGGTCCCTGGAGTCATCAGGCCCAGAGCCAGGTGCAGGCGATGGTGCAGGGCTGGGAGTTGGTTCCGCAGGCCGACGCTTCCCCTGAGGAGATGGRAAGCCCTGGGGTCCTGCCCGGGCCCTGCCTTGGACTGACTCCTGTGTCCTGGCCCAGTACTCGGCCAGAGCCCTCGCCCCGAGTTGGCCTTTGAAGGTCACTAGATGCAGAAGCAGTGCCTTAGAAGAGGGAGCTGGACGTGGGGACACATCTGTCATTCCAGCTACGCTGAAGCCACAGCAGGAGGATGGCAAGTCCCAGGCCAGCCTGGGCAGCTTAGCCAGRCCCTGACTCCAAATGAAAAGGGCTGGGTGCGGGCAGGGCGATGCTCCTGCCACACGCCAGTCCACCGGCTCCGCGTCCAGCACAAGGGAAACAACCCTTGGAAAACAACCTCCCGTCATGAGCAAACCACCGCCCCCCACGCTGCCCAGGACCCTGAGGGTCAAACCTGGCCTCTCAGAGGCCTCTGGGGTTCTTTGGGGACAAGGACCATCACTCCATCCCTGGGGAGAGTGGGGAGGCCCCTTGGGTCACTGTCTTGGGAGATGTGGCACTCAGAGGCTCATGGGAGGGCAGGACAGGCCAGGCACACTCTCCTCCCAGCAGGAGGTAAACCTTGGGGCCAAGCAACTCCATCAGAGGTGGGGGGGGCACATTCAGAAGGACACATGCCCAGATTCGGGCCTTGCTTCCGTGGCTGTGTGGCCTTGGGCCCTTCATGCCCTCTCTGACCTTCCTCTGGGCGTCTCTGACACGGGGCTGAGGCTCCTGGGTGCCCATTCTTGTTAAGGACACGGTAAGCAGGGGCCATCTGACTCCTCCCCAGTAGCAGTGTGATGGCTGTTGAGGGCCAAATTGTGTTCCCTCCAAAAGTCAATGTGGCAGTTATGTCCCCAGGGCCAGTGAGTGGGACCTGATGTGGGAATAGCGTCCCTGTGGATGTCATTCATTAAGATGAGGTCATAGTGCATTAGGCAGGGCCTCACTAAAATGACAGGTGTCCCTGTAAGAACCCTGTGGGACAACAGAGGCAGAGACTGGAGTGAGGACAGGCTGGGGGCCCTCCCTGCAGTCCCCAGAGGGAGCTGCTCACCTCTTGGTTTTCAACGTCTGGCCTCCAGGACTGTGAGGGTGAGTGCCGTTCCCCTAGAGCACCTATTGTCCTTTGTCATGGCTGCTCTGGGGCTGAGACTCAGGGTGTCCATGGCTGGGCATGGAGCTGGCACTTCTGATGAGCCCCGTGACTGTGACAAACACTGCCCTGCACCTGGCGGTTCCCAGCGATCAGCCCCCACAGGCTGGGATGGCCACTGGTTTGATACTTTTTTTCTTAATGTGTTAGTAAATTTTATTATTATTATTATTATTATTTTAATATTTATTTTTTAGTTCTCGGCGGACACAGCATCGCTGTTTGTATGTGGTGCTGAGGATCGAACCTGGGCCGCACGCACGCCAGGCGAGCGCGCTACCGCTTGAGCCACACCCCAGCCCCACTGGTTTGATTCCGAGGTCAGGAAGATGCCCGAGGCTGGTCCGTCTGAGCAGCTAAGCAGAGTCTGGCCAGTGGTGTTCCAGTGGCAGGGTGAGTCGCGGCAGCTGCCTGCTGAGAAGTTCTGCATGTGAGCAGAAGCCTCTTGGTCAGCAGGGGCCAGCAGCAGAGCCAAGGGCTGGGGCTGGGAGGAAGCAGCGGGGAGTGGGAGGCGGGCTAGGTCAGCTGTTTTTTGCGTTCCTGTAATGAAATGCCTAAGGCTGGAAACTTTATAAGGAAAAGAGGTCCAGGGGTGGGGCTGGGGCTCAGCGGGAGAGCGCACACCCAGCACCTGCGGGGCCCTGGGTTCCATCCTCAGCATCACATGAAAATAAATAAATAAAATAAAGGTGTTGTGTCCAACTACAACTAAAAAAAAATCTTTAAGAAGAAAAGAGGTCTATTCTGGTGCACAGTGGTGGTCCAAGGCCGGTGCCCCAGCAGGGGGTGGCCGCCTTGCTGGCAGAGTCTGGGGGCAGTTCAGGCCATTGTCATGTGGCCAGAGAGGAGGGTGGCGTCCCTCCTGGTCTCCCTCCCTCCCTCTTACCCACTCTCCTTCTTTCTTTTTGGGGTGCTGGAAATTGAACCGGACGCCAGGCAACTGCGCCTTCTCTGTGCTACCCCCCTTTTTACAGTCTGTCTTTGGAGATGGGGTGTCACTAGCTGCCCAGCTGGCTTTGCCACCTGAACAGCTGGATCACAGGTGCACCACTGTGCCCTGCTTTCTGTCCTTATGAAGCCACCGGGGTCCAATCCCGGGTCCCCACTCTGTGACCTTCCCAATCCTGATCACCTTCCGGTGGCCCCCTCTAAGCACCATGGTCGGATTAACCCCCGTGAAGGGGATT